CAGCGCGGCGCCGTCTGCGGCTCCGACGGCCGCTCCTACCCCAGCGTCTGTGCGCTGCGCCTGCGCGCCCGGCACGCGCTCCGCGCTCACCTGGGCCACCTGCACAAGGCGCGCGATGGCCCCTGCGAATTTGGTGAGTTCAGCTTCCACCGACAGTGCGGGGAAGGGTGGAGAAAGCGGGACCCCAACCTTCTGGGTCGTGGGGTGAAAGATTCCCCGGTACAGTAGTGGAATGGGCCATCTGGAGCCCTAGCTGGATGGTGAGGAAACTGGGGCAGGAATCTTGACCACACTCTTGGAGACAGAAGCCACGGAGCTGCTCAAAATTTTGGTGAGCCTGCTGCCTCTTTCAGTACTTAAGTACTTGCTAGCGCATTTGTTTGCAGACCTGGTATGTTTGCCTCCATGAGACCAGGAGAGGGGAGTGCAATGATTCCCTGTGGCTTCACCACAGGGCCTGGCCAAGGGTGGGTAGTTTGAATCAAGAGGGGGGAAGATGAAGATGCCAGAGCAGGAGGAAGAGGGTCCCAGACCAGGATTCATCAGTAACATGGCTGGACTCTGGGTGGGATCCTTCTGGGGGCGTGAGAGAGCTCCCATCCAGGACAGGTAAGCTCCCATCCAGGACCTCTGGAAACCTAAGCTCTGAAAAGGAGACACACCCAGCTTTTATGGAGCTAAAGCTTTAGAGTAAAGGAATAGAAAATCAATTGCTAGGGACCTAGAAATTTAAGCTTCATTAAACTTATAGCAAAGTCATCATTAGTGCTGTCGTTGTCACTATTCTATATGTAATTTTTAAAAGTTAAACAAAAATCACCCCAAAGCAGGATAGGAGTGTCTAGCAAAGCACCACTCCACTGGCCCATTAGGTTTTGGAGAACTTCCCCTGTGCCTGCTGCCTAGAGGGGGTGGTGAGAGTATAGAGTGCTTGGGCTGGTGGCTGATGACTACCAAGGAGGACTGCTTGAGGTTTAGGTGTCCTGAGAGGAATTCTGGCCTGAGCCTGGAGAACAAGCCCAGACCAAAATGCCTAAGTCAACAAAGACATTTGGGGAAGCGTCTAAAAACATCCATCCTGCCTCCACCCTACCTGCTAATATTCTAGGTACATGCACTCCTGTGCAGGAGACCCAGCAGCTGGATATTGGAGACAGGGCCCGACAGTGCCAGGAAAACAATGCTTAGCCCCTTGAGGAAGCAGAGGCAGCCCTGCAGCCCTGCACCCGGCTGTTCCTGGATGGGCTCCTGTGAGGACAGGCTATTCCTGGATGGGCTCCTGTGAGGACAGACCGAGGCTTTCCACACCCCTATTGGCTCCCTGAGTGACCTTGAGCTGGCCCCTTCCCCTCCAGGCCCACTCAGCTCCCTGAAGCCATGGCTAAGGTCCCTTCTTCTTTGAACCTTTGTTTCTACCCTGTGGCATTTCACTAATCCTGTTTCCTTCGTCCTTCTCCTTCTCATTCCTTTTCCACAGTCTGCTTTCCTCAGCAGTTCTCTTTGTCTCCAGATAAGTAACACTTTCATTCCACATGGGGAGAGAGAAGAAATGCTGACCAGGGCCCCAGAATCCAGCCTATGCTGACTGATGGGCTCTGATCATTGCCCCCAGGAGTGGTATTCTGTTCCAAAGAGAGGGCACCATGAAGACCTTTAGGACAGATCTGCTGTTAGGCAGCAGAGGGGCAGGGGACTTGTCCAGGGTGACCAATAAAGCCAGACCAGCTCCCAGGTCCCCAATACCCCCATTGGTACTCTTTCAGGACAGGAATTGATAGTGTTAAGTCAGGCAGGTGGCGGTTGCCATGGTTACCAGAGTGAGGACAGATGGCAGATGGAAACCCCAAACCCCTAATTCATTGAAAATTACCAAATGACAAGTAAATGTGACAGCCCCTCCGCTCTGATCTGCGGGCGCTGAGGCCCGCCCCAGGCACATGCCCTGGGAGTAAAGATGCTCACAGGGCCAGTCAGAGGCCATTCAGACGCTGCTTTCAATGATCCCTTTCGTGACAGGCATCCGCCTCCCTGGAATCCAGCCCCTTCCCCACCAGTGACTGTGCCCTCCACCGCAGCCCCCTGTTTTCCGGTTGCTTTTTGTCCTGAAATGTTTGTGTGGGCTCTGCTCTTGTGTCACTGTGAATCCTGAAGGTGTGGATGGGGGATGGTTCCCCCAGAAGGGGGGCCTCTCCTTCTGCAATGCCCTCCAGCCCGCCTTTATTCAGAGGACACAGCAGGAGCACTTTTTAACAATGCCCCTAGGGATCCCTGCTGAAGAAAAACTGAGCCAGTGGGAGCAGCAGCTGTTGTTATTTCTATATTGGAAATAAAATCACCCTGCTCAGCTTCCCATATAGTGAGCCTGGACTTCGGTAGTACGAGGCAGTTTTTAGTTTGCGCAGGTGTGGGGATTCGTCCTTACACGGGCCTCTAAGAGCCATTTGGAGACAGTTTCAGGCTTAAATTCTGACCTCTCCTCTCATTCACTGACCCAAAATGCCTGATAATGAGAGTAATCCTTGCATCAAGGCACATTTATCAAAGATCCACTATGTTCCTTATATGAATGACTATTGTTGGAAATTGCTTTTGCATATACATCTACCTAGTCAATTTTTATGACTACCTTAGCCAGGTCTCCCGGTTAATGAATAGAAAGAAAAATGGAGGCACGTGGAAGGCATTTTCCTGGAGCTGTCTGATGGTTCCCAGTCATGTTGGGGCTCCAGCCTGGATTTTCATGCTCTTTTCGGATGAGACCATGCCACTCTAACCCCCTGGCAACATGGCTAGCATGGGGCTACTAGCAAGCCGGCCTGCAATCTCTCACCTGGATCCCTGTCCTGCTTTTCCCTCAAGGCCTATTACTAGCGCCTCTGTCTAAAGCTAGGTGAGGGCTCTGAGAGAGATGGGCTAACTTCACAGAAGAGGAAGCATCTGAGAGGAGCCCAGAGGACCAGAAGAAAAATCCCTGGACTGAGCATGGGACAAAGGGAGGCTCAGCATGAGCCAAGGCTTGGAGAGGGAAAAGGCCCGGGGTAGTTTGGGACAGGGTCATTGCAAATCTTGGGCACCAGGCTGAGGGATGACGCTTCATTTTGGGCTAAAGTACTGATTCTGTTTCTCAACTATGAGGTGGCATGGTGATATTATTGTCAATACTATCGTTTAAAAGGCTGGGCTATTCAAATATGCTCCCCCACCTTTTGTTAACACAGGGAGGGGGTTGGGATCCTACACTCAGCAGGTTGGGTTGGGTTGGGTTTGAGCATTAAATTTGATAGGAACAGAACCCATGCCAGTGCCCTCAGGGGCACCCAGCCCCCCCCCCTCAAGCGCCATGAGCTTTATCCTGTGTCTAAAATAATTCACCTCAGTTGAAATTCCAGCTCCAGTTGGAAATCTCAGTCTGTGCAAGGCATGTGTTACCAGGTAACCAGGAGAAGCAGCAAATACCACTTTGTGAGAGGGACAAAGAAAGGGGGCCTCGTGCTCAAAAGCCTTTCATGCCTCGGGAGGGGATTTGAGCCACAGGCTGCAGGGAGCCGGATTAAGCTGTTTCTCCTTCCACGTCTGTAACATGACTATTAGCATAAATTATCAGGGCTGTTCGGCGCATTGATCATTAAACTCTTTGGTTGTGTGCTTTTTCATACTTGCAGATGGGGTCCTGGGGGGATGACTTCTGATGCCTGCCTTTCCCTAGCACCATTAACTTGAAAGAAATCTCAGAGGCCTTTGGGAAGATCTTGCACTCTGGCCATCAAGGACCACTTTAGACGATGGGGTGGGGGACAGCTCCCCACACACTTTAATAAGAATATTGATCCCTTTCATTTGTACAAGCCCACACGATTACTAGCACCGTGCTACCCAGATTCCCCTTCCACCCCAGAGGATGTGTGACCACTGTCATTCACTCACCGATAAGGAGGAAATGGCTAGCATCTTGCCCACGTTCTGTGGTTGGTGAGGGACCCCCAGCATTGGCATCTCCCTGGGTACCCTTTTGCCCAGGTGACTTTCCTGATGACTGGATTTGTGCCATCGAGGACTGTTGTGGGCACAAACAGAAACAAGCAAGAATTTAGCAAGAGCAAGGGATGAAGCGGGCAATTCCAGAGACTGGACTTTGCATCTTGAGACCACATCCCTTTTGTCAAGAGCAGATAGAATGGAAAGCCCTGGCTTTTCCAGGAGTGTGGCAGCTCTGACAATAGGAAATTATGAGGCTCACCAGAGTGAGGCCCAGGAGGGGGGTCTCAAGCAGGCACCTTTGGGGAGGGCCACACTAGTCGATGAGTGCTCAGGTTCCTCTGTGGAAACATTGTATGGTCTGCAGTGGGTCTTGTACCCTTTCCTGACAGCAGCCTATAAAGGAGATGGGAAGGGGAATGGATTTTGTGCCCATTTCAAAGAAGAAACTGAATCCAAGTCCCTGAGGCTTGGCAGGGATAGGATTCAAACCTGGATTTCTCCTGCCTGGCGTTGTTATGGGATTGTACCCCAACACCACTCTCAGATGAGCCTGTGGGGATGAGGAATGTCCTGTCAGTGTTGAGGAGGCAGCACCCATGGCCTGGCGTCTGCACTCGTTCTCTTCCCTGGAGGTGATGTTCAAGGTTTGCATTGTGCAGGAAAGAACAGTTCTGACACTGTCTCCTTAGAAGGCCTGATGGCAAAGTGCACTCTGGCCTGGCGCTGGGATTTTAGGAGGGTTCCTGCCATTCCCAGAACTGAGAAGGGGGCTCACTGTGCCTGAACTCTGCACATGATGTACAAAGCTGCTCTCCGCCATCGGGAATTCTGGCTTTCCTGTTGCTGACTTGCATAGTGTCCTTTTGCTATAATAACTCATAGCTGTGAGCACACCTATACTGAGCATCCCGTGAGTCCTCTTAACAAATAGGTGAACCTGGACTTTTCTTGGAGATTCCGAACCAATCGCAAAGCAACTTGCTTGTGCTAGAATGGAGCCCAATCAGACACATGTTTCACTTTGACTATCAGTAGGGAACAATAACACTTAGGCTCAAAAATAGGGTAATTTGGAGTGAAGGAGGGGACGGAAGGGTGGTGTGCCAGACCATTGGCACTGGGGGGAGGCTGGCCAGCGGGGGAGACGGTTGCATGTGTGGAGCTGTGACGCCATCTCCCCGAAATTAGTTATGAACACAAATGGCAAATCAATAGAATTTGATGACAAAGAAATCAGTGTGGAATTAGGGTGCTCCTTCAGGCCCCTGCACCTTTCTGAGTTTTGGTTTCCTCATCTGTAAAGTGGGGGTAAAAGTGGGGCTGGGTGAGGGTAAAAGCAGTAGTGTATATTGGGGGTCCTCTGGAGATAGGAAAAATGGGGTAACAGAACTCAGGTTTGGGAGCTATACCTTGTTTCCCACACCAGTTGGGGCTGGGTGCACTGGCCATTTCCCCTAGCTGGCAGCTGGTGAGGTTACTAGAAAATTCTACCACATTAATCACTGTAAGCCAACACTGCCAGTGTTCATCCAGACAGCGTTATCCCTACCGCCACTGTTATGATGAAGAATGATCGTAAAGCGCTAGAGGACATGTTCTGAGAGAGCAGAACTCAGTTACAGTGGGGTCACACAAGTGCATGCATTGTCCAAATGTGGAACTGCACCCCAGGAAGAGCGAATGTATTGTACACAAATTGTAAAATGGATGAGGACTTGAATGTCCCTTTATCATCCAAAGCAGGGCACTCTTTGCTAAAGGAAGTGGTGTTTTGTGCCACAAAATCAGTGGCCCAAGCATTATTTCTCAGACTCTTTTAACTGCAGTTATTGAAAGAGGAGAGGGGAAATTGAGAGCGACGAACTGTGATTTACAGGTTTATTCATTTAGGCCTGAAAAGGATGGATGAAATCTCATTTAAAATTTATGACTTCACATGAAGGAAAGTACAACATACTGATTGAGTGTCCCTTTGGAGCCCACTGAGGGCTTTGGAAGAAGACACGGTTCTGATTGTTCCCAGGGCGAGCTGTTTGAGGGCCGGTTTGGGCTCCCGAGGAGGAGAAGCGGGAGGATGTGAATATATTAGATTCTCTTTGTCATCCCTTGCAGATGGGGCTTCTGCCAGAGGAGTGCAGGGGGTTATTCTTTGTGGTAGCCAGGCAGGTGGCTGAGGGGTGGCAGCATTGCAAGAACACTGGACCTCGGTTCCTAGGGGGGTTTTGGCCAGGTTCAGGGACAGGGGCATGGTGCTTGGGGGTTATTCCGGTGGGATGGGTCATGCAGGTTAGGAATGGGGTGGGCAGTGTCTGTATTCAACTCACTTGAGGTCATTGCTGTGGAGACCCACAGTCCCAAGATTGACCGGTGGATGTAACTAAGGGTAAGTCTTCTCTCTGGGTGAGGCCGAGTACCTTACCAGAAGAAGGGGATAAGAATGGAAGGGCCTGGCTTCTGTAGGTAGTGAGCTCTCCGTCACTGGGGGTATACAAGGAGAGGCTAAATGAGCAGTTGCAAACAGTCGGGGAATCTGGGGGAGCTGGGATGCTAGAGGGCCCCTCCAGTTCAGTGTCACCTAAGGTTCTTTACCAGGGAGATTTTAGCTTGATAACATCGACTTCCCATCTGTCTGCAGGACTAGACCCAACTCATTTCAAGCTCCTGTCTTCCCACCTCTCACCCCTCTTCCTCCAGCCTTTTGTCTCCTGCCCTTTGTTTTTTGTTTTTCCAACCTCACCCAGGTGGACAGCACCCCACTGCCTCCCCAGAGCTGGTATGTGGAGAGCAGCTGTCCTTGAGACACCAGATCCAGCCCCAGGAGTCAGACTGCTGTTTGATGGCCGGGGAATGGCTGTGTTTCTTCATGCAGTCATCTGTCTCCCAGACCTGCTCCTGCCCCCCACCTGTGTGTCATGTAACTTAAACCATTACTTTCAACTCATTCCACTGTTTGAACAGCTGAACCACCACGTGAAGCAGGAGACATTAGCCCGCCTTCTACACCAGCACCCCCCACAGGAAGCACTTCCCTCACAGGGCCACCACATTACACCTTGCCCAAGATATCGTGGGGGTGCCTGCCAGGGTGGGCAGCACTGCCTGCTCAGTGCAGGGGAGACCAGCTGGACTGGTCTCAGCACCTGGACTGCAAGGCAGGGTGCCACTCAGCAGGCCGCAGTCCTGGACTCAGCTACATGACCTCTAGGTCCTGCCAGGTGGGGTGCTGTCCACCCATGGAGCTTGGGGGCTTACATTCCCTGCAGAGGGCAGGCAGGCAGCGTGGGCCCTGAGGGCACCAAAGGGCTGGGTGAAGGGCCAGAAAGCAAGGCTGAGGCTGCTCAACTTGACTCAGTCCCAGTGTGAGCAAAGCAGCTGCCAGGCAGAGAGGAGGCAAAGGCAGGAGTTGCCGCTGAAGGCAGAAGCCTGCCAGCTCTCCAGGTCGTCCCCAGGGCCACGCCCTCCCTCACCTCTCTCCACTCTGTGCGAGGGACCAGCAGCCCCGAGGCCCTGATTCAAAGGGCCTCACTGCCGGCAGCTTTGCTCTTGGGACCGGGGAGGTGTGTGTGGGTGCAGTGAGGGAGGCCGCAGGTGGACCTGCTTCTAGGATATGCAAATGGCTGCTTGAGCGACCGCAGGGGGTGTGGGCACCAGGGTGAGAGCAGCTGCTCCGCATGGCATTACCATGGCATTACCCTTTGAAAGGCCCTCCAAGCAAGGGAAAAACCCAACCGGTAAAAAGCCCCTCTGCTGGTGTCACTTCAGCACCCCCTCCCGGAGCCTGCTTCTTGTCATTTTTTGAGTAGTAGGCAGATGGCAGCTGAGTGACTGGGAGGAACCATGGGAGGGAGGAGGCCAGACTGGAGCTCTGCTGCGGGTGTGCTGGGTGATGTTGGGAAGTCCTCTCTTCGTAGGACAGAGGCAGTGGACCTAGAAACATCAGGCGCCCAGCTGCCCTGTTCCACTGTCCGGACAGGTTCTCGGCCCACAGAGGCCAGTGCCAGGATTAAAGGTCACGCTCTGTCTTTTCTCCCAGCTCCTGTGGTTGTCATTCCACCCCGGAGTGTTCACAATGTCACCGGTGCACAAGTGTACCTGTCCTGTGAGGTGAGGGCTGTGCCAGGTCCTGTCATCACGTGGAGGAAGGTATTTCTAGCCAAGGTTTCCTGGGGTGGGGGGTGGCAGGAGGAGGGGGAAGAATAACTTTTTTCTTTTAAGTATGTTGGTGTGCATATCGTCTGTGTGGATCAGAGAATTAAAAGGTCCCTTATATGCAGTCCTCTCCCTCCACGTTTTTGCTTCAAAACTTTCCCCCAAAGCCCTCCCTAGAGAAGGGGGAGTTACCATCCTTCTTGTCATTTGCTCCCTTGGCTTAGGAAGTTCTGCTGTTTATCCAGCCTACATCAACTTGAATAACTGAGAGCCTCCACCCTGGATCTGGGTTTTAGAAAGATCTAGCAGATAACCCCGTCTATATCTTCCTGTAGAGGCCTCCCTGGTGATGCAAGGGGTTAAAGCTCAGCACTATGAAGCCATCCACAGCCACTGCAGCACCAGTTCTATCCCCAGCCAGGGAGGTGACCCCCACGGCACAGCAGACCTCTCCTGACCCGCCCTCTGCTCCCCTCAGCAGTGTGTTTCAGTAGATCTGCCTGTTCTGTTCCCCACTCTGTCTCTGGTGAATCCTCTCACACACATCTGGCTTACACCTCAATTCTTGTACGCATAAATAAATTTAAAAATCTTTAAAGTGGCCCTCCCTGGTTGGCACAGCTGGTTAGGACGCAGCGCTCCAAGCTAGCTGCAGCTGCTTCAGTGCGAGTTCGATCCCTGGCCTCAAGGTGACCCACATGGCGCAGCAGACCTCTCCTGACCTGCCCACTGCTCCCCTCAGCAGTGTACTTCATCTATCTGCCTGTTCTGTTCCCCACTCTGTCTCTAGTGAAACCTCTCACCGCCCCTGAACCTCTGCCCTGCACCCCAGTTCTAGATTCATAAATAAATATTTTTTAAATATTTAAAGTAAATAAATAACTAAATCTTTCTGCAGATTAAGCTTGAAAAGACTGGCATGCGTCAGAGGGCATTTTGTCCCCTTAGCAGCTCTGACAGCAGCCACGACTTTCTGAACGGGTGGTGTCTACTTCTTTGCTGTCCAGCAGGGGGTACTGTCCATACATACATTTAGGTTTTGAAAGCTACTGATGTCATTTTGATAGGATTAAGAAGTGCTGGGTGTGGGCCTTTGAGCCAGTAGAAAAAGGACATCGAGGATGGCCATAGGATTATCCTTGACCACCATGTCATTCCTAAACCATGCTGGCTTCTCTGTCCTCTGCAGGTCACCCAGTCTCCTGAGGGCACCCAAGTGCTGGAGGACCTGCCTGGGGACCATGTCAACATAGCTGTCCAGGTGCGGGGGGGCCCTTCAGACCACGAGACCACAGCCTGGATTTTGGTGAGTGTCTCTTTTGTTTAGGAGTAATGGTTATGACTGACTGGCTTGCAGAAGTCACCCTTTGTATATCTGTAACACACTACACACTTCAAGGCTGTTCTTGTCCATTCTCATAGGCCCCTACCATAACCAAGAAAAGCCGGGCAAGAGCTTTAACCCCTGAGAGCATAAATAATCTGCCATGGCAGAGTTCTAACTGGAAAGCTATTCATGTCCTAATTCCTGTTATGTGACAAGAGGGGATTAAGGTTGTTAATTAGCTAACTTAAATAAGGATGTTATCCTCGATTATTTGGGTGGGACCAGTGTCATCACAAGAGTTCTTTAAATGTGGAAGAGAGAGGCAGAGAGACTGTCCAGTGAGACATGACCTGCCATTACTGGCTTTGAAGATGGGAAAAGGGGGCTACACTCCAAGGAATACAGGCAGCCTCAGAACGGGAACGGCAACACATGGGTTTTCCCTGGGGTCTCCAGAAAGGAGGCAGCCTGCTGACCTCTTGACCTCTTACTGTTTAGCCCAGACACCCACTGGGACTCCTTTTTACCCCAAAACCATCGATAATGAAATTGTGTTGTTTCAATCTACTAAGTGTGGGAACTGGTTACAATAGCACAGGACAATGACACACCAGCATGCGACTGATAAAAAAAAGAAAATTGGATGTTGGTGCCTCCAGGGCTCTCTGGAGCCAGCTGCGCATGTCTGCCAGGATGGGGAACGCCATGGAGCGGAGAGACAGGGCTCCATGCTGGGCACATCACTGCCCGTCTGAGCAGCAGTGTCCACAGCTGTAAAGAGGACGTTGGACAGACAGTGTCCCGGGGCCCTGCCATGCTGGAGGCTCTGACTTACCCTGGAGTCTCCTATGGCAGACGGGTAGCGATGTTCACTGCTCACCTCCAACCGGCAGGGATTCAGAACGAGATGACTGCATGGACCTCTGGTCTGCAGAGTTGCTCAAGCTGAGGGGTTGTCACCAAAAGCGGAGGCCAGAGCAGCAGGCTGGGTGGGGGTGGGGAAGGGCGCCCTCCTCATTTGCTCCAGCTCTGGGGGCTTGGGGACTTTTCTCCACCCCACTGAGACACGCAGCATGCAGAAGGGTCTGTGGCTTTCTAGACTGCCTCTGCTGGAAGCGGCCTGGGCCAGACTTCATCAGAAGCCTGCTGTTCTTTTGATTTTCAGTCTATTCCCATCTCCTGGAGCGAAAGGACCAGGGGACAGCGAAGGACAGGGATGCAGAGGAAGCATTGAAATGAGAGCCACGCTAGAGAGGGACTGAGAAGGAGCTTCCCTGCGGCTTGGCAGCCATGGCAGAGTGGACTCGCATTCTGAGAGGAAGCGAGCGTTCCCCGCCATCTTGCTGTGCCGCATCTGATCGAATAAATGTGTGCTTTGCAACCATCCCAGGCTGAGGAAGTTCATTGTCAGTTCTGCAGACGAAAAGACAATTTTGGAGCCTCCTGTAGATGTTTGCAGGCCTTTACGCTGATTCCAGGGACAGACCAGCTTTCTCTCAGGATCTCTCTGGCTCTCTTCTCCCTTCTCCCTCCTCAGAGTGACGTTGCCCTTAGATCCCCTTGCCCCTCACCGCAGGTTTCCAGCCTACGCACATGCCCCACACTCCCTGGGCCCAGGTGTCCATAATTACAGGTGCACGTGCAAGACCTCAGGTACCGGGCATAGAGGCTAATGGCAGGAGGATGGGAAAAGCCTGTTTTGGTTTGCTTTTTTTTTTTTTTTAACTCATTTACCCCGCAACGTGCCTGCTTGATTTCTAGATCAACCCCCTGAGAAAGGAAGACGAAGGAGTGTACCAGTGCCATTCAGCCAATGTAATTGGGGAGGCCCAGTCCCACGGCACAGTGACGGTTACAGAGCCCAGCAGATACCAAGCACCCCGCTTTCCAGCTCCAGAGGACCGCCTGTGATGCAGTAAGGTACCTGTTCTAAGTCCTCACTATTTACACACCATGTCACAAGAGGCTGAGATGGCTTATAAAGAAAAAGAACAAAACATAAATCAAGGAGAGCAAAATGAGCAGGAACACAAGACAGCAGGTAGAAACTCTCATATGTTCTACACACACCACTCCAGGCTTCCCAGCTGTCATGCAGAGGCAACGACTGTGAAACTGATGTGTCCATAAGGTGGAAAAGGCCAGTCTTTTTTCTCTTTCTGAAACTGAAGGGAATGTTTCCTCCAGGCCGTCCTGGAGAAGGCCAGAGAGCAGACATTGTCCTGGGGGAGCAGCACAGAAAACCTGCGTGCAGGGAGGCAGGCCTGCTTCCTGTTCTTCCCGGTGGGCAACCCTACTGCCTCCAGGCCTGCCGTCTGTCCTCAGCGCTGTGTGTGCTTAGTGGAGCGTCTCTGGGAGAGTCTGCATCTCCCCCACCCAGTGGCTCTTAGTCCTCTCTGTCCCCTGGGTGAGAGCTGGGGTGGCATCTGCCCCCTGCAGCAGGTGAACTGTGAATGCACCCTTTTACTAACCAGCCTTGCCACCTAGCAACCTGCAGAGCTTGCTGGTGCATAGCCACACTCCACTCGTTTATCCTTTGCTCACACCTGCATGGACGGGCTGGGGCTCCCCTCCCCCCTCCTGTATATCAGGACACAGCTGGAGAAAGAGCCCCTGTGAGCCCTGTATATATTCTGTGGCGAAGCACAAGAGCAAGAGGCCCAGCCCAGCACGCAGGCTATTTCTGCTCAGGAATGACTTGTGTCACATCTGCAGAAGTTCACAGGCTAAATAAAGTCAGTCATAGGACAAGCCCGGTGCCCTGGAGGGCAGAAGCTGCTCCTCCCCCAGGAGGCCCAGGGCAGAGGCTGGGATACTCTCACAGAACAGAGGAAATAACAGCCACAGGCAGGTGCCATCACCAGGCCCAGTCAGCGGGTCTTACTAGAGCAGGGAGAACGAGGCACAAGTTGCATCCCGTAGGAAAAGCAGGAGCATTTTGCTGTGGTCGTAATAACTCTATTCTCCCAGCCACCTGCACACCTTCCCTGAGCAAGGACCACCAGGGTTGCACAGAAGGACAAGAGAGAACTGTCCTTATAGGACAAGAGGTGCAGATATTGAAGAACAAAGGACGGGTGAGGTCGAAGAGAGAAAAGCTGCTTAGAACCAGGGGAAGCAAGGGAGACACCCCTGAGGACGGGACCCTGGGGTTGAAGGATGGAAATGTGAGTAGCCAGAGCTCCCAGAAGTGGGGAGGGAACACAAAGTGTAGAACCAGCCGGTGGGGATTCCGAGCAGTGAGGAGGTGGCTGAGCTGGCCGCCTTTCTGACTCATGACTTCATGTTACAAATGCATATATATTCTCGTAGGGGTATATAGCACCAAGTGTCAAGAACTTCATCCTGTATACTTGTGTGTAAAATGTTATGTTTTATGTGATTTTAAAATATATAATTCTAATGTTTAGTAATATTTAATACATGTGTAAATGTACAGTATAATTTGTAAGTGTACAAAGTATATATATGCATACACACAGAGGTGTACGTATACTTTTTTTTAAACAGAAATATGTCTGGGGTCTGAATATGTCTATTCCAGGTCGTTTTCAAAAGGAAGCCACAAAACCATGGAATTTTAAGCTCATTGCCACCACCCAGGTCGTCCTCTGCAGCCTGGCCAGCTCATGCTTCTTACTTCCAGGGACACAGAGCTCATAGCTCCAGCCGCCACCTTTGACTTTTCTAATAGTTACAAGTCCTTCCTCACATTTAAAAGAATCTGCCTTCTGGAAACCCCCCCTGTTGGCCCGGCATGAAATTCTTGGGCCTTCACAGGCATCCCATGGGCATTGCAGATCATTCCCTTCCTTCCATTTAACAAGTAGCTGATCGTGCCAAGCAGGCTTCTTTTCTCTAATTACTTCCCTCTCTTCTTCCTAGGGTCTTCGAGACATTGGTCACAGGATGGCGGGAAAGACAAGTTATGGATCATTTTGCTTCATGAAGAATTGGACCTGTATTTGTAGACGATCCCTTTTGTATGTTTTTTAAAGTTAGGCACAAACTAGATTCGTATGCAGGTGTAGTTTCTAGCAGGACAAACATTGTGCATGTAACTTTTTTATACTTTTGAAACAGCATTGCTCTGTAAATTTCATTTTTAAATTCCCCCTGCCAGAGAAGCTGCCATTCTGGTATATTTGTAATTCTAAAGGGCTTGAGGGGGACTGTCGACAGTGGCTCTTTACCTCTGTAACTTGGGGTGCTGTGTACTGTGGGAGGGAGGAGGGCCCTGTTTGCTGCCTGACCTCTAATTGACCTCTAATTGCTGTGTTACCTCCAGGTCCTTCCCTTGGGGGCCTTGGTGTCTTCACTTGTGTTCGTGGCACTTGGAATGGATGTCAGTAGTCTCTTCCAGACCTACCATTCCAGAGGAAATGACCCTCTGGGGGGAAAAAATGGGCACAGGAAATATGATCTTAGCAGTTGTTGTACAGTGATATTCCCGCAAAACCAAATGCCATTGCTTCCTGTTGGGCTGTGGACAGGTACCTGCCCCTCTTATGTTCCTGCCATTTACCTCTTATAAGAAATTTAGTTCATTAGGTAGAATAGAGTCCCATGGGACTCTCTACCAGATTTGGGACCCTCTTGGCTGGACATTTGGGGACCAAGATGTCCAGTGTTCCCTGGCCAGGTGAGAGTCGGACACCAAACTCTACAGATGGTCAAATGCTGTCTTGGCTCCAGAGTTAGGGTGTAGTAGAATACATTTGACTCATAGATTCATAGATCCCTTGACCTCATCTAGGAATAAGGCTTGCTTGCTTATTTTATGGGAAGAAAAAAAAAAAGTAAGAAGGAGAATATGTAATATCTGGGCTAGAAAAAAGAAAAGATCCCCTTGGCAATTTAAATACTTTAAGTCAGAACTAGGATCTCATATGTGAATAGTCTTTAATGTTCAGGAAACACTTTTCTACCTATGGCCATTTCCTGTCCAGGGGGCCAACAGGTGGGAGAGTATGGCCGCCTCCCCCACCCACCCACCCACCCACACGCCTTGCAGAGGAGAAATCACGCTCTGAGAGTGAGCTTGGGCAGGACCAGAACTCAGGGCTCCTGGCCTCCTGCACACTTTCATGCCCAGGTGCTGCCTCCCAGGATGATCTCGTAACCATGTAAACTGTTCACAAGCTCCCACCCTCCAGGAGGCACTTACCAAGCCTCTACCTTCTAGCGTTCATGCTGCTCCCTTTAAGAGAGTCCTTTGAAATTGAATTTTCAGCCTTCTAAATATTGGTTTTTTTCATTGGCATCAGAAGGAAATGAAATTAGCTGGGTGGTTTTCATACTTCAAAGTAGCGGAACCCCTTCTGGGAATAAAATCAGCTGATCAGACTAGAAGCTGTCCTTGTCTGGAGGCAGTTGGGGCTGCAGGGGGTACCTGCTCACACCCCCTCCTTATGCAGCGCCTTCTCCCCCTCTTCTGGGATGATTTCTGCGTGGAGGGCTGCAGTTCACTCCCCTGAGGTTTAAACAGTTGGGAGATGGCTGGGTAAGACGCTTAGGGTAATTGTCAGGGCGAGTAGAGGAGCTTTGGCCCTAGAGAAAGGAACTGAAACACATCAGCTGTCTGTTAATAAGCACATTTAGTGAAAACAGTTAAACCATCTGGTGTCTGCCTGAAATTCAAGTTGGGGAGCTGGCTCTAGACCAGAGGGCAGGGTGGATCTACCCCCCAAGGGGACAGAGCCGAGCATCAAGTCTGCAAGAGGCTGAGTCCAGCACCTTAACTGTGCAAGAAAATAAGAACAAATGTTAACAGTTTGAAATCTTCTTCAAAACCAAAAACATAGATTACCATGATTGTTCCAACCTCAGGACTTTTCCTTGCAAGGGCCCAAGGCTTAGGGCAAGAGCTGTGAAGGCTGTTGTCAGGCAACGTGATGTCCCCAGCCTGTATTCTCCATCCTGCTTTCAGAAGGTGTCCTGTCACATGGCCCCAGCACCCAGGCAATAAATGTTTTCAAGCACAGTCTGTGGTCTTTGTTCTTGGAACGTCACCTCAGGTGGGGCCAGCATCCGGGTTACTTCTCTGTTGACCTTTCCACACCTTGCCCTTTTGTAGACTGGCTCACATCAGCTACCTCTGTCTAAATCCTCCTTACCTGTCACACTCTGAGGAATGGTCACAACCTCAACGGGTCAGTGAACCTACAAGTTTTACCCAATCCTAATCATACGACTGCCAGTTTGATTTTTCTAACCCTCCCCAACTTGTGTTTCCCACTATATAAGCATCAATACTTGATTCATTCACTCAGCTCTGTGCTCTTTCATCTCCCACACTCATACAGAGACCAGAAGGGTGCAGACACTGGCAATACAAAGGTGGGTGGGAACTGGAAGGTGCACTAAGATGAGACCCTATTGGGGATGACTGGGATGAGGTCACATCCTACCAGGTAGCCCAGGATGTCTATGATCAGAGTAAGGAGCAATCAGGGAAGACTTCCCAGAAGAGGGGGCATCTAAGCTGAGGATTAGAGTGGGTGTGGGAGTGCCAGGCTAGGGAAACAGTAAATGAAAGAGACAGGGGTGGAGAAGTGCCACGTGGTCTGTGAACAGGGAGAAGTGACCAGTAGTAGCTGCTGAAGTTCTAGAAGCAGGGGGTGGGGTGGCCTTCAGGCCACACCCTATGATGCCATCAGACACAGCTGGACTTGATGCTGTAAGGTATGGGCAGTCTGAATCTCCATCTTCTGTCGTCCACTGCATCGTAACCGGGCTTGAGAAGTATCATTCCAAAGCCAGTGTTCAATCCCAGACGTACCCACTTTCCTCCCTAAATAGTCTGGGTTTTAGTCAAAATGGATTTTTTTCCTTCAGGTTTAATGGTGAAATTAACCCTACATCATAAAAAACATTGCCCTTCCCTCTCCCACGGGATGGATGTGGGGAAAATTAATAAGAAGGAACAAGTCAGTCGACAGTGAACCGTCTCCTCTAATGAATTTCCTTCTGCCTAGACTTCGCCAGGGCCTCTTGAACATTAAATCAGAGATGATTATTATGTGATATCTTAATTAATTAAGGGAAGCCAAGGTGCCCTGCCGCCCGCAGTCAAATAATGAATTCAGGACACCGTCACCCAGGGCAGAATTGCATCCGTACTTGCTACTCTCAGTTCAGGGGCTCTGAACACTGGGGTTCAAACACTCCTCTGTCCTGGAATGTGGGCTCCCTTTGGTCAGATTTGCCTCTAGGTTCAGCCTCAACCTCACCCAGGGGCTGAGGAGGGTGTGGCAGAAGTAGCAGAGCTACCTATGTCTTCTTTCACGATAGCTGTCTCTTCCTTGCACCTAAAAACCTCCCCCATGATATTAGGCAGGGGTTAATTTTAGTCAAGAAAATAGCAAAAACCCTTAGCCCTAGGGAGTCGGGGTGGGGGAGGCACCTCTCTCCTCCATTCATTAATCCACCCACCACACACATCAGTGAACACTGTATCAGGAGCTGCAAGGTGCTGAGACCCTGCAGATCTGTGGGGGGGTCGGGTGGGGAGACCCCAGCCCAGAACCTGTCTCTCTGCTGCTGCAGCTATCTCAGTCACCTTCATTAGCACGGGCCTCAGCTCTGGCATACAACCCCTGCCTCCACCAAGGTCTCCCCTTGCACCCATGCTTTCGCGCCAGCCCCACGCCCTTCACTCCCCAGGAACAGCCTTCCTGTCTGCCTCTCTGCTAAGTGACCCCCTCATCTAGTAGGTCTCTGGGCTAAGTTACCCCCTCATCCATAGGATCCTGGGCTCCTCTGACCAGCATTTCCCTTGGGTGGAGGCACCATCGGAGACCCCAGCTCAAGGGCTGAACATCACTCGGCCTCCAGTTTATTAAGTGTGGAGTTGTCATAATAAGTGCCTTGAGGATAGTGAGAAAGTAAACATTGCGTGTGCTTAATGTGTCATCTTGTGGCCTCTCAGTTTTCATCTCGCTCTGTTAGAGTCTCCCTGCCAGGCGCTGAGCTCTACTCCTTCCCAACCTGCTTAAGCACTAGCCTTTTATTGTTTTTACCCAATGGTTGGGGCCAGCTCATTAACAAGGTGGCCACCAGAGGTCAGCCTCACACCCAGAATAGAATCAACCCAAATAAAAGTTCTTAAAAGCCCAGAGATTTGGGATCTGATCACGAGAAGCTGTGATCCAGCCGCAGTCCCGACAGGCCTAGCAAAGGAGCTGGGTGTTTGGGCTTGTTCCACACTGCCTGGCTGTCCCCCTTTCTGGTCTACAACATTATGTACATGGGAGGCTTGATTCCAAAAAAGCTGCCCACTTCAAGCTCTCAGCTTTCACTTCCTCACCTGAAAAAAGGGTAACTCTACTGCCGGGCTGCAGGACGGCTATGAGAACCTGATGGCAGTGACTGAGGGGTGAGTATTTGTGTAAATTTGCTGACCGGGCAGGTGCCCCGGATCTGCAACCTGCGGCCAAGGTTGGTGCCGCAGGTGGAATCTGCAGTTACTAAGGACGCTCAGCCTCCAGGCCCAGGTGGACCTGCACACACAACAGTGGAGGGGTCACCAAGCTGACCTGACCTGACTCCCCAGTGTCAGAACTTCAAGGACTGAAACAACAGAACTAGGACATTCTCTTTTCTAAGTTCTACCCCATCCCATATGGGGACAGTCTACAACATCGCTCTTGGTTTAGCTGCAGATGAGAAATGGATCTGCTGAAACATCATGTTGTTGGTCACTAAGGGCCCCATCCACACGCCCCCCATAGCTCCAACCTGTCCATGAGAAACTCAGCACTGTGCAAAATGCCATAGCATCCATCAGAAGTAGACAAAGGAGTGCATGTCAGAGGACAGAGTCCCCCCAGATTAGACAAATAGTGAAGAAAGGAGGTCTAAGAAGGAGAGCTGACGAGACCAAACAGATCCTGAATCCATAAGAAGCAGGTTCAGGCAACTCCGACAAGATACTCAACAAATCACCTCAATGCCTAGGTGAGACAACAGGAAGATAAAGAGTTAAAGAAGATGGCGGTGGTGGTGACTTCACAGGGCTTAAAAGTAAGGAGCTCAAGAGCAAGGTAGTCCAGGAGGATGGAAGAGTGAATCGGCATTCTGTTTCTGCAGTGCGGGGCTGGCTGGCTGCTGGCACTGCCCCCAGTGGGGAAACGGGTCCTAAGGCTAGCAATAAGCAGACTGAACTCTGAGCTTTCAGACTCCAGAACCGCTCCCCACAGCTGGTCAAGATGGCATGGGGTGCTGCATTTTGTTAGGGTTGTGGGAAGGGAAGAGGGCAACTTCGGTGAGGCCTTGAAGAGATCTGCAGGGGGCTTCTCTAGGCAGGGACTGGAGCTGTTTGTTCTCTGTTGGTCTTCAAGTTCCATTGTGTTACCCAGCCAAGAGAAAACACACTAGAAATATAGTGGAGGGAATGCTGGGGGTTGAATGGATGATTATCTGGGCCCCTTTCCATCCCTAAGTCTCTGGAAAATATTCAGCAACAAGATACTTAATACAAAACTGATTTGCAGACAGAGAGTGTACAACTATTTATTTTAAATTTTTATTAAAATGAATTCACAAAATACATCCTTTTAAGGTGTGTGCTCCACGTGTACATATTTTAGTGTAAACCTGTAAATCTGTGCAACCATTACCACTATTCAATTCCAGAAGATTTCAAAACATCCCCCAAAGAAATCCCATACAGGTGAGCAGTTACACCCACTTCCCTCCTCCCCCAGTGCCTGGCAACATCTAGTTGCAAGTGTCTGTCTTGGGACTTGTCTATTGATACAATATAAGGTCATAACGGTTTTAAGGGTCACCCATGTTGTAGAAGATGATAGGACTTCCTTCATTCCTTTTTAGGGCAGACCAGTACATGGAATAGTCCAAGGGAACATTTTGTTTATCCACTCACCAGCTAATGGGCATTTGGATTGTTTATCTGGTTATGTAAATACATGATTTGTTAGTAATTCCTTTTCTAAAATTTAAGAAAATCAGTAGCAAAATCACAAACAAACAAGCAAAACAGTCAGCAACTGGTATTTAGAAAAGGAAAACATCCTTGAGTTTTATGTCATGTCAATTTTCAAGTGAAGTCTAGAAAAACAGAAGAGGGTTATCTACCCAAAAAATCCTAGTGCCTTCCAATCCCAGCTCTGAGTTGAATCCATCAGGGAAGTCCCTGAATCAGTAGGAAGAAGCCACAGTCTGGAACAGCCATCAGGCTAATGCACTGGGAAGTCCCTGGACCAGTAAGAAGAACTAAAGCCATCATCTGGATCAGCTGTTTTAATCAATCTTCTGGAGACTTCCATGGTTGCAAGGAAGTAACTCAAAGCCAACAGGGAGGTTGGGTAGCAGATGGCCCAGCCCCCACCCCTGCTCTAACTAGTGCAGCTCTGATTTTAAATGCTTTACTTAAAACCCTTTAAACCTCTTTATTTGTTCCTGGGAGGCCCACACAAGCATGGTGGAGTGGTTGCAGCACGCCAGGACTGCAGCTGGGTCTCCGTGGTGTTACACTTACGAGTTCTTCTCTGGAACCTTGATGGTGACTGTCTTCACCTCGGTATAGGCCTTCAGCCCATCCTCCCCCAGCTCCCTCCCATTGCCAGACTCCTTAAAGCCTCCGAAGGGCGTGTGGCAGGTGACAATGTTGTAGGTGTTCACCCAAACTGTCCCAGCCTGGAGGGCCTGCGTGAAGTACAAAGCCTTGTCCAGGTCCCGGGTGAACACCGCAGCAGCCAGACCATACCTGGTCTTGTTGGCCCTCTCGATCACCTCCTCGATCTTCTTGAACTTGAACAAGGGCTGCACAGGGCCAAAGATCTCCTCCTTAGCAATCCTCATGTCATCCTGCACTCCACCAAAGACTGTGGGCTTGATGAAAAAACCACGATCCCCCAAACGCTCCCCGCCGCAGAGGAGCTTGGCACCCTCCTTCTGGCCGACCTGGATGTAGCCCAGGATTTTTTCAAACTGTTCTTTGTCCACCTGGGGACCCTGCTGGGTGTCCAGCGCAAAGGGGTTCCCAACTTTCCTCTGCTTAGCTTTCTCTACGGTTCTCTCCAGAAACTCATCATAGATGGATTCCTCGACGAAGGTGCGGGAACCTGCACAGCAGCACTGGCCCATGTTGAAGAAGAGGGCTTCGTGGCACTGCTCCACAGCGTGGCCCATGTCGGCGTCAGCCAGCACGATGCTGGGGCTCTTCCCACCCAGCTCCAGCGTGACTCTCTTGAGGTTAGAATCACCAGCCGCCTTCTGGATCAGGTGGCCCACCTCGGTGGAGCCAGTGAAGGCCACTTTGTCAATATCCATGTGCTGGGCGATGGCCGCTCCTGCTGTGGGGCCGTAGCCGGTGATGATGTTCACCACCCCAGGGGGAAAGCCTGCCTCCTTGATGAGGGAGGCCAAGTACAGGGCGGAGAGAGGGGTCTGCTCTGCAACCTTCATGACGACAGTGTTGCCCGTGGCAAGCGCTGGGGCGAGCTTCCAGCCCTGCATGACCAGGGGGAAGTTCCAGGGAATGATCTGGCCACAGACGCCAACGGGCTCATGCCGGGTGAAGCAAAAATGCTCCCCATCCATGGGGATGGTCTTGCCGTGCCACTTGTCAGCCCAGCCAGCGAAGTAGCGGTACACCTTGATGACCTCATCCAGGTCCAAGACATAAGACTCCTGGAATGGCTTCCCGTTGTCTAAGGTCTCCAGCGAAGCCAAGTAGACACGATCCCGCTCCACCAGGTCAGCCAGGCGGTTCAGCAGCCGGCCCCGCTCAGAGGCATCCATCCGGCGCCACGGGGACCCCAGGCGGAAGGCCTCGCGGGCTGCTCTCACAGCGCGATCCACGTCAGCCCGGTCTCCTTCAGCCACATGCCCTATGACCTCTCCCGTGGTGGGGTTGACCGTGGGGAAGGTCTTCTTGCTGACCGCATCTTGCCACTCGTTGTTGATGAACAGCTGGTTGTAGCGGATATCTGGGTTCTGGATGGGGTTTGGGAGGGCCGCTGAGGAGTATGGGGCTGTCCTGCCTCGAAGGCAAAGCAGCCGGGGCACCAGGAAGCGCAGCATGCTGACTTATCTGGAAAGGGGCTGGAGAACCAGGGCAAACAGGTGAAGGGGGGCCAGCAGCTCTGGGTGCCAAGGTTCTAGCATAAGGGGGTGTCCCTTCTAAAAACAAGAACAGGCAGGGGTACAAAAGACCTGACGAGTTCCCATCCAACTGAATCATGTCCCACCTAGCTCCTGGCTCACACCCTCACCTATTTGGGGTCTTTGTTTGTTCAATTGGGAACCTTTCCACCATGGTCTTCTCTGACCAAGTAATAAGGCTACTGCTACAAAACTGATTTGCAAAACTGATTTGCAAACAAATTTATACATTTATAAATTGGCAATTTTTGGACCCTCCCTGGTGGTGCAACAGGTTAGGACACAGCACTGACCACAGCAGCTTCAGTGGGAGTTCGATCCCCGGCCCGGGAGGTGACCCACATGGCGCAGCAGATCTCTCCTGACCTGCCTGCTGCTCCCCTCAGCAGTGCACTTCATAAATCTGCCTGTTCTGCTCCCCTCTCTGTCTCTGGTGAATCCTCTTACTATCCCTGCACCTCTGGCCTGTACCCCAGTACTGTACATATAAATAAATGTTAAAAAAAAAATAAGTTGGCAATTTTCCTCACCCCTAGCACTAGTTTCCATACCCGGCTTCTCCCCTACCCCCAAATAATACATCCACACGCCTACATGTTTGCTGTCTGCCCCTCTCCAGTATGTTATCAGCTCCATGGGTGCAGGGATGTTTTTTCCTGTTTCATTCCCTGATGACTGCTACAGAGCAGCTGCTTGACAGTTACTCAATGATAACTACCGAAACATCAGAAAAAGCAAGGACCTTGCCAGGTTCCCAAGCCCCACATCAATCAGTGGCTCCCAGCAAAATCCTCCCTGGAGGGGTGGGAGGATGTGGAGCCAGCAGGCCTGTCTTAGGGGTCTGCCTCATGCCAGAACAGAAGCCACCTGGGAGCCCGCAGAGGGCTGGGGTGCAAGGGGAGATGGGAATCACCAATGCAAGAGCTGAAGGGGCTGAACAGGGAGGAGAGGTGGTCACAGATGACCGCTGGCCAGTATCTCATGCCAAGCCAAGGCAAGTCCCACTCCAAGGCCTATGAGTTTTCTGCTTGTGCCTCCATTTGCACATGGTGGGGAGAGGGGGCTGTTGCTGACACACCACACTATTCAACTTGCAGACCATCTTAGAAGTCTCGGAGCCTTCCAACAGCCCTGGGGTGATCCGGGTAGATAAGGACGCCCATTCTGGAAGAAGGCTGGAGATCAGAAAGGTGCCTGGGCTCACCAAAGGCACAGAGCAAGGAAGGACAGAAGCCTCAGCCCGGGTTCCCACAGACTACGAGCAAGTTTGGCTCTCACTTTGCTAAGGACTGGGTTTCTTGTGTGGGCACCTCTCCTTTCTCCTAGGAAGGGACGCTCAGAGGCAGGAGGCTGGTGCCTGACACGGGCCAGTTGGGCAGGAGCGCGCAGAGATAGAGCTAGCGGGGAGGCCTGAGTCTGGGGGCCATGAGGCGCCACCCTAGGACCAGGGTTCTGCAGCGCACGCTGGACGGAAAGGAGCAATCCCGTTCCCCGAGATGCGAACCCGTGACGCAGAAAAGAAAGCCTCCGCCGCGGGAGCCGAAGCAGCGGCGCGCCCCGGGGACCGAGAGGGGCACGCCGCTAGTTACCTGTGGAGGATTGGGCAGCGCTGCAGTGCAGGATCAGCTCTCCGGGTGCAGTGCAGCCTCCAGTCCGGAGCTCCCCACTCGTCCCGCCTCCGCGCAGTCGAGTGGATGCGCCGCCAATGAGGCGACGCCTGCGCCTAGGGCGCAGCAAGAGCTGTCCAGCTGACCCTGTGGCTCCGCCCCCTGAGCCCCGAGGAGGTGGAGGTGGGGGTCCCCAGTACCCCCTGTCTCAACCCCTGGTCTTCCGCTGCAGCCCCACTCAGAGTCCCAGCATCTTACGCCCAGGCTGGCGCCCCGGACCTCACCTGGGCTCAGAGCTGGGGGTCCTAAGGCGCTAGTTTGGGAAAGGAAACAGAGACCCAGAGAGGGGCAAGAACGTCGCCCCCCCATCCCTCACCCCCACCCCGCCGACACAAGGCGAGAGCTTCTGCTCGCTGAGGCTTAATTAACCTCAACTCTATTTGCATTGTCCCTACGGCCAGATGCACCGGGTCACACAGTTGTCCTGAGTCTCTGCAGAAACTTTTGTGTCTCCCAACTCATCCCCAGGAACCACCCTTAGTTCACCAGATTTTCATTGTCTTGCACCTTTACTTCCCCAGTCCTTGAAGAAGATTTTGTATTTGTGTATTTAAAACACGCGTAAGTTTTTTGTGTTTTGTTTTGTTTTGTTTTTGGTGCTAAGGACCAAAAGCATATATGCAATAGTATTGAAAGCCTGATAAACAAATGACTGAAAGAAGGAAAAAAAACTATCTTCCATCCTTTCACCCAAAAGTTACCACTCGTCTCACCAGTATTTTTTCAAAAGTTCTTAATGAAAATGAACTCATATGGTGACCTTTATGTTGCTGCCTTTGGTCATGTCCCTAATTACAAATCAACATCATCCAAGGTGGTAGCGAGTGCCCAGTAGAGCGGCCCATTGGTGGACATCTGTTGTCTCCACCTTCGGTGGCCCCAAAGCGGCTAAGGTGGACATAGCAACACACCTCTCACTGGGGCAACCTCCAAGCCACCCCTCCTGGCTGGAGAAGCAGACAGTCGAAAAAGCTCAATTTCCAGTCTTTTTCTGCAGCTGGAGTTTGGGATATGAATTAGATGCTGCAGATTAATAGTCCTCTGGCAGCTATGTCAGGCCAGTTTGGGGGGCTTCACTATCCTGATGGCAGAAATAGGAGGCTGTTTAACTTAGTGCCCCTGTAATAGGGTGGTCCCAGGAAAAAGGGCGGTTCCAGGCTCCCTGCCCCACCCTCCCTTCTGGCCCTGGACCCTCTCCCTGACTTCCTGGAAGGGGGGGCGGCACCTGTGCTGTGGCTCCATGACTCCCACTCTCTGCGAGCGGCTGCAGGGTGTGTCCTGATAGCAGGAGCTAGCGTGTCACCACTGCCTGTTCTGCAAGTCAGTGCTAAGTCTAGTCCTCTGGTCCTCGCAGTCATTCTGTCAACACTCAATTCTCTGTATTAAATTCCTACCTCGCTGCATATTTAGTGTTCTCATTTTCCTGTTGGGAACTGAAGGCTTTGCATTGCTCTTTCCCTAACTGCTTCTCTATGGAATCTTTTGTTACCGTGTCCAGCTTGGATTATCCGCAGTCCTTGCTGCTCATTTCAGTTTTTCACCAAAAGCATCGCATCTTGCACCTGCTCTTGTTTTTCTGTTTTCCCCAACAACAGTGTAGCCTCTACAAAGACCTCTTTGCTTCCCTCCAGCGAAGGCCAGCCCTGTTCTCCTTGGACACCTGGGTGGCACTCTGTGCTTAACTAATGATTATTTGGTCAGTCATTAACCGATCTCATTGACAGAGATAGTGAGTCCAAGACAAAGCGAGGGTGAGTGCTCACGTGATCATACGACACAGGAAAGTTGTGTGGGTGTGAGAGGCCAGTGGCATGGGAAAGTAGCCCCCTGGGGAGAGGCTGAGGCCATGTCCTACAAAGAGCAGCTGAAGGAACTGAGGTATCTACCTTAGAACACAAGGAACAGGTTGTTCCCTGCAAATCTGTAAACGTCAAAAAGCAGGCAAGGTCTGGGAAGTCCTAGAAGGTAGTGTCAGGCTAGTAAGGAGAAGTTCTAAAAGCAGCGGAAGGGCTTCCTGACTGAGAAGAGCAGGCTAAGGATGGACAGAAGAAGCTACCTTAAAAGGAAAATAACGATAAACAAGGACTTGGCAAAATCCTGAAGCTGAGAGTACCAGAGAAGGACTAAATGAGACTTAGCCATGCATCAGAAATTGTGTGGGGAGGCCCTCCCTGGTGGCACAGCCGGCTAAAGCACAGCACTGCAAGCAATGGCAGCCACTTCAGTGAGCTGGATCCCCAACACCGGAGGTGACCCACATGGCACAGCTGACCTCTCCTGACCTGCCCGCTGCTCCCCTCAGCAGTGTACTTATCAGTCGGCCTGTTCTGCTCCCCACTCTGTCTCTGGTGAAGCCTCTCACCGCCCCTCTACCTCTGGTCTGTACCCCAGTTCAGTATGCATAAATAAATCTTAAAAAAAAAAAGAAGGGCCCTCCCTGGTGGCACAGCGGGTTAAAGCACAGCACTGAAAAACTAAAGCCACTTCCGCATGAGTTCGATTCCCGCCTGCCCCGGAGGAGACCACATGGCGCGGCAGACCTCTCCTGACCCGCCCGCTGCTCCCCTCAGCAGTGTACTTCGTCGATCTGCCTGTTCTGCTCCCCACTCTGTCTCTGGTGAAGCCTCTCACCGCCCCTGAGCCTCTGGCCTATACCCCAGTTCCGTATGTACAAATAAATAAATCTTTAAAAAAAAAAAAAAGAATTGTGTGGGGAAGTTTTCAAAAAAATTACCATCTCCCTGGGTCTTACCTTCAGCGATTTTAAACTATTAGGTGCTGGCTGGGCTCCAGGAATTTTTTTGGAGTTTCCCACATACTTCTGATGTGCAGCCACGTTTGCGAAACATCAGCCTAAGTGGTCTTTAGGGAACTCGATGAGCCCATCATTGATGAGTTTCCAAAAACAATTTATCAAGCAAATGGTCTGCTTAATCTAGATTCCATCCAGCATGCCCTCCTCTGACTCTTCATAAGCTGTGGTTGGCATCAAAACTCATCGAGGCAATCCTATTGCACAGTATTTGTAAAAGCATCCTAAAAAATAGACGCCTTTCACAAAGCTTGACACTTACAGTTTAAAGGGAAGGATGAATGTGTAGTGGTTGAAGGTAAAATGCACAACTTATTTTTGCAGGGGCTTGACTATTTGCCAGGCATGTTTTGGATTCACATCTTTAATCAGGAAAAAAAAAAAAAAAAGGATCCAGACCTGTGTAAGAGATGCTGGGTCAGGGGTCACTCTTAGTGTTTGGACTAAAAAGATATAAGGGAAAAGGGTGAAATAACATGAGCCACGCCAGGTCCCTGTCAGCAAGGAATGTCACCCAGGGATGTGTTTACACTGGCTTGCTGGGAGAAAAGAAGCTATTTCTAGCCTTCACTTTATCAAGATGTCCTGGAAGTTACTAGAGAAGATTCCAGGCTCTGAGATAACAAATGGATCAGACAGATTCCAAACAAAAAGTTCTTGAAGCTGCAATGAGCCTTTAGTCTACTTTTGCTTAACAGGTGCTTTTGCTCTCTGCATTTGAATGAAAGATGGAAGGCTGGGTGAAGGCATGTTGGAGCTAAAAGGAGTGGGAATTTAAAAATGAAGAGGCATATAAAAAGCAAGCCAAGATAGACATGGTTCCTCTTTAGCTCCTAAGTGGCCCCGTGTATTCTGTGAAGGTTATCCTCTGTAAACACCACCCAAGTTTGGATGTTGTCAAACCAAACCAGCCCTAAGTGTTTGCCACAGACTCAGTTTCCCTTCTGCCTGCCTCCTTCCTCTTTCCCTCCCTCTGGGCCTCCATTTGTATCTGAAGAGACTGAGGCTCAGAAAGGGAAAGGGACTGGCTCAAGGTCACACAGACAGTGTCCACATTCAGACAGCAATTGTGCTTTCGAGGGCACAGGACCTGGACAGGAAATAGCCAGTGTGGCAAAGTGTGGGCCTCTGAGGATGTGGGTTTTACCCATGGCTTTGAGGGGCTTCTAGAAGCACTTTTTAGGTTTGGGGCAACTTGGAAAAGTAGCAATCTGCCTGCCACTAATTTGGTCTATTCTGAGGGAAAAATTTTCCATGATCCATAATCCATGGGAACAGATGTGCAATAGGAAATGCCTTTCTTACCCAAACCCAGTGCAATTTCAACCAACCTGCAGCTGGTGCCTAAACCAGGATTCAGCTTATCTGGAAAGGTTGTTTGAATGCCACACCTAACACCAGATGAACAGTAAATAAGATTATGCCAGGCAGCTCCTCTTATGGGTACTAGTTTGAGCCCTCCTCTGGATCATTTTGCCTCTCTGTGCCTCAGTCTCCCCATCTGCACAATGGCAGCATTGGACCAAGCCCCCTTGATCTGCCCCTAATTTAAAGAGATCCTCTCAGGGAGGATCTCAAGGCTCATGTCTGACAGGATCTTTGGAACCAGATTTGGAACGGAGACTCAGTCTAGGTTTGCCTAGACTGTTTGCCTAGCACTTGAGTATCGCATTCAAAGCCAAGTTTTTCAACTCTAAATACACCATTTATGGATGAACTATTTTCTTCGTCTAAGTCTTAGTGCCCTTATCTGTCAACTGAAAATGATAACACATCTCCTCATAGCAGAGTTGTAAAGTTCTAAGGCAGAACCTCCTAGTTATTCCAAGTCTATCTTCGTACAGTCATGGAAAGCCCCCAAATGACCACCAGAATAAAGACTACATTCTCCAGCCTCCAATGCAGCTAATTGTACCTTGTGACCAAGTTCTGGTGATATGGACCCCCTCGTGCCCAATCGTGAATGGGAGTATTTGAAGGCATCATTACAAGCACCTGCGTACACACTGTGCCGTTTTGTCTTCTCCCTTCCGCCTGGAATATGGATGTGGTAGCTGCCATTGTGGATGGCAAAGTCAGTGACCCCCATCAAGGGTGCCAAATGAAACATATGAGGTCTTGAGTATTATCATTCCCTAGACTGTTTCCCTCCATCCTTTTTAAAAAAAAAAAAAAAAAAAAGATTATTTATCCATACAAGAGCTGGGGTGTAGGCCAGAGCTGCAGGAGGT